AATCGTGATACAATCGACAACTTTCTAAAGCAGATAGTGACTGGGTAGCGGTCGTAAGTCGACACAAATGGTCGCCAAGTCAGGATGGATTGCCAAAAAGGTTTTGTTGTGCATGTGGTGGGATTGCCGTGGAAATATCCACTATGAGCTGCGCCCTAAAACCAAGATCTCAATTCGGACCTGTATTTTTGGGAGCACTTGGACCGTCTGAAGGAAACTGTCGCCCCGAAGCGCCCAGTTTTGGCCAACCGAAAATGAATTCTGCTTCATCAGAGCAACGCTCTGAGAGATTATTTGGAACCTTATAATACAATCCTCTTATAGTCCGGGCCTTCCACCAAGTGATTACCGACTGTGCCTGTATATAGCGAATGATTTCGCTGCTGAAGAATTAGCCTGAAGAGAAACCTGTGAACATCGTTTGTTACAATTGTTTTCCATAACGGAAAGCATTACGTTCAAAATTACAAAAGGAGCAAAACACAGCTTATTTGACATAAATCGTATTATTCCAACTATGCAAAAATAATGGTTTAATTTGCGATTTGTAGTCGCTGAAGCAGTTTTCAGCCAAGCTCCTCAACCAATTTTTCGTGCGCGCCTTGGTAGCTCCAAACTGCTCTTTTTTGCTTGACACTCCCTGCGGTGGACCGACCATAATTATAAAAAAAATAATTTTGTTTAATTCTCGAATGCTGGTCGAGCCAGGTTTTGAGTTTTCCCAACATTAATACGCGCTGCAAACCTATCTACTATTGATATGGTAATAGTTGCCAGAATTCACCCAAAACTGGACTTGTGGGACACGTGTTTTTTATACAAAATATAAACTTAAATAGAGGATTTCTCTGACTATGACTAACTTTTATCCGAAAAAAATTATTTTTTTTTTTAATTTTTTAATCGAATTTTTGGACTACTTTTGGTACATACAAACGAGTATGGTTTTGCATTTTAACGTTAGCATTGTGGTACCGTAGTCATATCTCACCCCACCAGTTATGTATTTCCTATCACAACATTTTGACGCAATTAATCCAATTGCTATGATTAGAAAAATTATTTACTCTTATTTCATTTATCTCCTTCTTACACATTTTACCCTTCACGTATATTTCCAATTCGTTTGCGCCATTCTCTTTTGTTTACAAAAGTTTCTGACACTTGTAATTTCATATTCGATTATTTGTGGTAATCGAGCGTTACAAATCCCATAAATCCCATCCAATATACAGAAATCGCCAACACACACACACACACACACACATACATACACAGTTCACTGAAATTTATTTTAATCATCCTTTATTGTATTCATTCCGTTATTTATAAATGACCCTGTTCTTATTGCTCAGCGTGAATTTTGGTTTGCAGATCATTAGTTAAATGACAGAACCTAAAAATGAGCTGAGTAAGTTGATTGGCATTTTTATATATAAACATAAATACAAGAGGGTTGAATAAACTTGGTGTAAGGGAAAAATTTTTGTTTTCTTTTCAAGTTTCACTCTCAATCCGTATCTCTTAATGCAGCAAATTCATTTTAATTGTCATCAAAAATGCTTAGTATATAATGAAATGGATGAGAAAAGATTTTTTAATTCTGTAAAAGGATTAATTTGTTATGGGTTTTTGTAGTTCTCGGTGTTTTTTGCATCACACCAACATGCGAAATGCCGCAGTAGACACCGAAACGTTCAGAGTTAGGCGATATGTTGCTCGCTCTGATTAAAATTGTTCTTTTAAAATTTCACAAAAGAATCCACAAAAGAGGGAGCTTATGTGCATACTGCATTCAACAAAACTGATGAGTAATATTTCCACAAAAAAAAATTAAAAGATTGCATGGGCTTCATATTATCGAAGCTGCCTAGAACACATCCAAAATTCAGATCAATCCCTTTACAGAGTCCTAAAAAATAGTTTCTTTTTTTTTTTTTTGATAAATTTGTAATTTTTCAAAACGGTAATAAGTAGAATTCTCAAACCTGCGGTATCATATTATTATTTTATTGCCATCAACATTTCCTAGAATGATTACTCCGATACCTTTCTGGTCACTTCTTTACTTCTTCAAATTTTGTGCAACTTACTTTTTTCGAAAAGGGAAAAAGGAAGGGTTTGAAAATTTTTATGAGAAATGCAGATGCCTACTTTTAAAATGGCTTAGGCAGGCCTTATAGTGTACCAATACGTGCAAGTCATTTTCGTTGGCCTTTTAAGTCTCAAGTTAATACATCAATTATACCTCAAGCGCTCTTCACTTGAACTTTCTAACGATGTGGAGGTGTCATCTTCCCCTGCTTCTACCAGCAGGTACATACTTGAAGTATTTTTATCCAACTGGACGACGTGAAATGTGCTAGCCGAGTGGCGAATGCGTTAATTGTTTATTTTATGAAAGGAATAATTTCAGGACTTATACGTTTTTGTCAGACCGATAATATTTGCTTCTTTACACAATCAAGAAAAAGCGGAAATAATAGTTGAAATTGATCCTTCCAATTCTGAGTGCGCTATGGGTTGTGTTCAGCGTTGGCTTTTACAGTCAGATAAACTGCTGGGGGTGCGAAACTCAGGCATAGCCGCGTAAATGCTGTCGAAGGTTGCTTGAAACCCGACAAACAGATGCTGTGTGCTGATGATTTCCTAGCGTATATTTCCCAAGACTTGAGAAAATGGTCTGAAGTTGCACTGCTCAGTTCCGACCAGTTCTTTGACGATAAACGGTTTGATAAAAACGCCATTGATTTGATAGCTCCTTAAGTAAGCTGTGGTCTTTTGCCGCTTTATTATACTTTAAACAGTCAAATAGCCCTTGAGATTGATAGGACGTAGGTTCATTCATAACGTGAGTTGCACTTTCACTGTCCTTTAATAATCTAGAGAAGTGTTCCTGCCATAAATTCAGTTTACGCTGGGCATCAGTCCCTAGATTAATGCCTTGGTTCCTACAGGAAGAAGTCCCGGTTTCGAAGACTTCTTTAAATCGTCGAATTATTTCATCGAATTTTCAAGGTTGACTGAGTAATGCCGCCAACTTCTCAGGCTTTTGCATCTCCATTCCTCCTTATATTCACTGCTGTACATTTGCAGTTGTCCGTAAGCAGTTTGAAATACAGCACCGTTTCTTTATAATGAGTGCAATCAGCGAGCAAGAGTGCAAGTAGGGTAGAACTTTTCTCGGTTGCCTATAGTGATTGCAGGTTTTCGACGTCGAGCCTTCCTCACTTCTGTGAACATATATAGAAGCTGATAATTTTTCACAAAAATCAAATACTACTTTTCGCAAAGTTTGCCTTAAATAGTTCTGATTGGAGCGATTTTACTTGAAAAAGACTTTCCATATGACAGTCCAGTCAAAAAGTCGCCTGCCTTTAAGAAAATAATAACTTCTAATTCAGACTCTCAGCTTCTGCTGAGTCAGTGTTTTTGAAAGCATAAAAAATATTTCGAAAAACGTTGGTTAACAGTAACATCAATGGTAAAATTAATAATAAAAATTGCTTGCATAAACCAAATAAGCCTAAAATAGCAAGAAACTAATTTTCTCCAAAACTGTTCGTGACGAATTCGATTTCTACGTTTACTTTCAACTTAAGCGTGCTTGCCGATAAAGTCAGAAAATCAAAGAGCAACACTGACCAATTTGTATATACACACTCGTACATACATAGACGTATATACTACAGAAAGAGACATGGACATTAATTACCCCAGTAAGCGCTTGCAAAGGCTGTCTGTTTGCATGTTTTCTATTGTCAAACCATAATGGAAAGGAACAATTGGGCAGGGGCAGCTGCTGTTCATGACTTGCTGTTCAGTGCCCACCAAAACGAAAGTAAAATTGTACGTGAGCTGTCAACAACTTTTGGGCAAAATCATTGTTTGCTCAAGCCTTAGTGCGGAAAAAAATGTAATTATCAAAAGCTCGGCACAAAACTTACTTGTTGTTTTACACAGGGCAACACTTTTTAAGGTTTCGAGAATAAATGCAGATAAAATGCATTTAAAATATATTTTTCATGAATTTCGTTTTTTATTATAAAGATTAAATCTTGGCATTTGTGAAATACTCATCAAACCATTCAAATGGCCACCTAAAGAGATTTCGCAAACTTTGAACCGTTTGAGGTTGTTTTTGATCACTTTTTGCCGACAGTTGATTTTCAAGTGCTCAAAAGTTAAAATTCTTTCTTGCAAAAAGCCCATTTTGTTGGTGTTGAAACTATTAGTTGTGTGTTTCAAAAACTTGACTTCCTTGCATCCACCGCGCTTCAAGTTGATAGTGACAGTCTCGCTGTTGTCGTTTCTCAAGGCGGTAGGATCCAAATAGACCTCCGGACCTTAAAATGCAGCAGAAATAAAATTTTTTTGGTTATAATAGCTTATTTTCAATTATATGAGGATTCCCGGAGCCCCAATTCCGACAATTTTTCTCATTGATGTAACCACAGAGTGAGCAGTGTGCCTATTCGCTCTCAATTTTCCTTTAATTTTATTCATTCCTTGAGACATGATGACAAAATACAGGCCGGTACTGCTGAATAAACGAAATGGTTAACCCTATGCATTAAAGGATGACTTATTGAATGACAAGCAAGGATAATTTTGCTTACATAAATATGTATGTATATCAATGTAAAGTTTCACAAAATATTTATGCATATATTTGTCTGTTTATTTTTGTTTTTATCTAATAATTATTATTTCGTGCACACATTATTAGATTTTTTTTGTTTTTACAGTTGACAGTTGACAGCATCCGCCGCGAGACAGTTGACTTCCACGAAAATACGCCCACTCACTTTGGCAAAGCAAAGCAATCACAAACTCTGGTTCAACTCGATGAATTCTTTAAAAGAGCAAAGCAGAAAACCCTATAGCTTGACGTGATTGAAGCAAAAAATAGTTAAGAGCACATGCACACACACACACATGGAATCTAGGCAAAAAGTATACACAAAAGTGATTTTTTAACTATTTTATTTTTAAAACATTTAATATTACTTTTATATTTGCCGTTATTTAAAATTTTTTTTGTACACTTTTTATGAATTCACTGAATTTAATTGCTACACATACACATACACATGAGTAGGGAGTTCTATCATTTGCTCGCCTCCGCCACAGCCTTCTTGTATTCAGCCTGTTCAACACCATCCCAATTGAGCGTCTTTGTAAATAGTCTGTAATTTAAAATTAATTTGCACGATTCAAATAAATATATAACGTAAATATAAAAAAGACAGATATTTATAATCTGAAAAAAAGAACATTTCACGCAATGTACGAAAGGTTCTAAAAAATATTTGTAATGAAGAGCACTCCCTCTTCAAAATTCTAAGCGATTTAAACTGTGAAAAACTGCTGCTATCAGGGTGGGCTGAAAACAAAAAAGGTGGTCTTTACCGTTAGATACAAGCCACCGCCAGTTAGGACTCAACTGCAGTCAAATATCTCGGGATAATCTTAGATAAAATCTTAGAATAAGAAAAACATGAAATCAGTGACATCGAAAAACGGGTGAGAGCTCTTCCACTCGAGGTGCAAGAAAATAATTTGTAAGAGCTAGCAAATGCTTACTGAGTTAGCATGGCCTAGTGGGTCCATCATCCAGTCAGCCAACCAGGTGAGACTGTTCAAATTTAGCAACTCTTTTCGTATGACTTCTTGTACCCATATATGGAGAAGAAATTCAGTGCTTAGGCTGAGTAGACACTTGAAAAATAAAGCTCTCTTTCTCTCCTGTCACAGTCTAAACTATATAAGTTGGTCATCTTTCAGCGAATTAAGAGTCTGGGTGCTGCAATCCGGATGGAAGCGAGCGCTCCAGCTGCGAAATTATTCAATGCAGTACTCGTAGGGGGAAGCAGAGGAAGCGGTAGACTGTTGGAAAGAATAAATAGAAAGGTACCTGGCTTCACCATGGTATTTCCAATTGACGGCGAAGGCTAAGAGAAACGACGACCGGCGCCCTAATTCTATTAAATCAGAAATAGTTGCAAAAGCAGTTTACACGCAAAAGATTACATCGGAGTATCAGGAGCCTGTTGGCCTATTTAAGGTAACGAAGGTTCTTCCACGGCCCTATAGCCTGGTTAAATTAGAACTTTGCGCAACTTCGCCTTACTCGCGCTCTCCGTTGGCTCATTCTAAGCACACAATAAAAATAAAAGGCGTTTTTACTTTAAAACCTTCTAATAAACTTTTAGATAAGTAAGACAGTAGCGGAAACTATTCAACATGAAGAACTATAGAAATATGGGAAACCCCAAACCTCATCCAGAGCGCACCATGATAGTCGAACTAAAGTGGAAAAACAGTGAAGTAGAACCTGGCAGAAGGTTTGGCAAACTGTCTGGGCCGCTATACGCCAAATTACTAGTGAGACTCACTCTAAAACGAATGTTAAACATTCTTCGTCTACCAAATTCCTGCGGACTTCTCAGTAATAGAGCTTTAACAACATGGGCTATATACCAATCGTGCACACAAAATGAAGAACCTCATTTGTCAATGTAAAGTGGGGTTTGAAAATTTTCCTGTACTACTAGACATCACACGGCGAGTGGAAACAACTCCGAACAGAACATTTCTCTAACTGGAAAGCGGTTTTGGTCTCCTGACATCTCGAGTAACCTACCAACTATCAGTGACGGCAGAACTGGCTCTCCCTTTAATTACGCAATTATCAGTACTCAAGGACCCCGAGGAAGCTTATTACCATAGCAATAAATCTTAATGCAGTCAATGCTTATTGACCTTCTGATGGATTTTATCTTAAATTCTCGTCCCAAACAGTTTTATTTTTCAGGTGACAACGTCAATGTATTTATATTGGTTATCAACTTCTACGAGGGCATCGAATATATATGCTGAATGACAATGAGTCACTGTCGAAGAACTTGAAGCCACAGCTCCTACGTGTCAAAGATATCATGAAGCTGAAAAGTAGCTATATTTTACTCATCAGGTGGGAGGTGATTGCATCTGCATTCTGGTCAAATAGAACCAGACACTATAGAAGAAACTATGTGCAGACCTATAACCTATTCATAAATTGTATGCGTTCCCTTCATCAAGTCAGAGACGACCCCCACGACGTCTTTACAAATTAATAAAATATGCCCATTTGCAGGTAGCCAAAATCAGACTTACGTTTTACGCAACTGTTCCAAGATCTTGGACTCCTTCTCATCAAGTCCATTGTAGTATGCAGCCAAATTTATATCCAATAATTTGCGCGTCTCCATGCCCACCAGGAACGTACTTGCCCCATCTAATTGCATAAATTGGTACATTGCCAGTTTGCCAAGCTCAATATTGGCCGCCTTGCAAATATTTGCCGCTTGACGGCACACAGCTTTTATTTCTTCGCTTGCAAAATGCCAAGCTTGTGGACCAGAGTTGGTAAGCAACCCCAAGGCATGAGCAGAAGCACAAACAATGCCAATATTGTGCTCTTTGAAAAAGCTCACATACGATTTCAACGTATCGTCAAGCAGAGTATGACGAGAGTAAGAGAGTATAACCTACGAGAAAATGGTGCAATTATAAAATAAAAAGATATGAGGTAGGTTTTGGAAAATAAATATTTACATCAATCCGATTGGGTGCACGCTGTATGCATTGCTTGAGCACTTCCAGCGTATACGCTGTTATGCCGATAAATCTCGCCTTGCCTTCTTTAACAATTCTTTCCAATTCGGGCAGACATTCATTGATGACCACATCCAGATCATTGGCCATGTCGACATCATGAATCTAAAAAATATTAATATTTATGTAATTATGGAGGAAATTTTATTTTATTTGTAATTATGATAAAATTGACATTTCCAGTAAATTAATCTAGAGCTTACCTGTATTACATCTACATAATCGAGTCCCAGTAGTTTCAAACTCTTCTCAACACTTTCTCTCGTACGTTTCGCTGAGTAATCAAATCGCTTAACCAAGTCTTTCTCATAACGTGCTACTTTTGTTGATATATAAAAGGCCTCTCTCGGCACACTCTTCAATGCCATACCCAGCACTTCTTCGGCACGTCCTTGTCCATAATATGGCGCTGTATCGATGTAATTAATACCAGATCTTACGGCCTTGTGTACCATTTCTATAGCCTCATTCAAATCCAAATCTCTGTTAAAAAAAGTAGGGAGTAAAATTATATTACTTTGAGACGAAAAAGTGCCAGAATAAGCAAATCACAACCAACAGCTTAAAGTGTTATAAGGCATTGCTCATTGATTAGAGTTGCGACTCGGTAGGAAGGATATCTCTCACTCTTCGGCACAGCTCAGGATAATCAATGCAAAATCCGGCTGATCACATCTTAAGTGCTCTCTTGAAGAATTGGATAGTAGTGAGAGTAGATGGCTTATCAACTGAGCTTTGAAATCAACGCAGAAAATAGTTATTAGACTATAACTGCAACTTGAACTTCCAAATCGGCCTTTTGGAAGAGAGCCTAAAACCGAATACGCTGGAGATATCCAGAGCTGGTTAAAGAAATTCTGTTCTACAGTGTCACTTTATGGTGGCCGACAATCAAAAATGAAATTTCTTTTAATTGTAAACCAGGGACAGTTTAGCGGTCTGCCATCGAACTATTCAAAAGCACTGGAAGTTTTCGTGAATTTCCTTTCTTTAAACAGTGAGATCCACCCACATATGCACTCAATTAAAACCATAGCATCAGATCATTCCATCGTCTCCCAAACAGATCTACTTATAATTGAAATAACCCACTGAGTGGCTGTTCTGATCTGCGGTCAATAGGGAATCAATTGATAAATTTACTATTAGCCAAGGTGTCATTATGAATCCTAATAGACGAAAGTGGTGATATAATGCAGAAGTACTATGAACAGACTCTCCAACAAATACAACACATTCACATGGACGATGCGGATGTAAATCTTCTACACCGATACTAGTGATAAGAAGATATTATTTAAGGTAGCTTCAGGGCAAGAAAATGAGTAATTACTCTATTGAAACTTATCTCAGATGCAAGCATTAATAAAATAAAGTGTTTGTTGTGCACTATCTCTATCTCTGTCTAGCCTTAATAACTACGCAACGCATGTTCCTTGGGAAACACTTTTTCGACCGTCTTGCTGAGTTAGCTTCAGCTTATAACAGCAGCCTCATGCTTCACACATTTGAGAAGGTCACCGGAACCTCATAGCTACATCACCGTGATCCTATTAATGGGCCCCGGTGTGTTTATCTCTGATCCATTGTCGTATCAACTCTAAAATCTTAAAAAAGACCAGCGTAAGAAGTTCACTACACGCCACCTCTTTGGCAGTTCTAAAGCTCTGTCGAGTTGTGCAGGGCCTCACCGAACTTTATGTTACCAAAAATGGTTCAGAAAAGGTGGCTCTCTATCGTAAGACTTCTTCCACTTAAGGATATTGATGCGAAAAGGAAGCAGACCGAACGGGGGCCAAGCGAAATCCCTCCTTCGTCAAGCACAAGTACTGTTGAGAGCCATAACTTTGAAGTTGTAAATATTTTCGTCTACCTAGGGGGCCTCATTAACAGCAAAATTAATGTAAAATTTGAAATCTAATGCTGCTACTCTGAACTGAGTAGGCAATTGGAAATAAACTCCTTATTTGTTCACTTTGTTGCAAAAACTTACCCATATAAATCACTTAATGTCGCCGTCCCTAGCGACACCTTGGATACTTGCAAACCGGTGCGACCGAGCTTACGATACTCCATACGCTTGCACAACTCTGCATCGTGAAAACCTTGAACGTAAGTTTTTGGTAGACCAGACATTTTTGTTCTCTTACTAATTCTATGCAAAATAAAGTTAATAATATTTCTCTACACTTTTCTTAGCTTTGCTTCACGTAACTTAGATGTTGCGCCGCGTAGAGTACCGCTTTGACTGAGGAAATTATTTATTCAAACTCGTACTTATATATATTTATACATACGTTTATGTTACTAGATACTTTTTATGTAAATAGCTCTCATGTGCAGTTATAAGAAAATGTAATCTATTATACTCTTCATATGCTAGCACTTGTATGTTTGTAGCCACTAATGTACGGGAACACTAACTGACAAATGAAAGTCTACGCTCTGTTGTTAATCATTGTGTCCGAAATAAAATTTGTTTTTCTATAAATTATTGAAATGTTTTGATGAAAGTTCGAAAAGATATTTCTTGAGGTTAAAAGTAGGTTAGCATATCACCCATACCTCTGTTCCAAAAGTTATTGCAAAATTATTATAATTTCTTAACTAATAATGATACAACTGAAGTCATTATGAAAGCTTAAATTGAATTGGCTTACTTTTGGTTCTATACAACCAGACCGAATTCGATACTTTACTTAAATGTATTAAGAAATATGGTAGACTTGATAATACGAGTCTCAGATAATTGCAAAAATATATTCCTAGTAGCAGATCCAGTCACACGCTGCTGTGGCCTTCTGTATGCTGGCAAATTTTAATTTAAATTGGTATTGCTATTAACGATAAAGAACCCTAAATTATGCGTTCTCTTAGTCGAGATATTAAGTTTTTTAGCTTGAGGTATCCCTTTTAAAAGCATTCTTCACAAATGGCCGGAACTGTGCGCCATCGCACCAAGCTGTAGTTGTGAAGGATTTTAAGAGCAAAAACTCGTCTAATACCATCGATCAATGCGCCTTTTTTTGTATCCAAAACTCAAGGTACCACTTCTTGAAACACATTTCGACTCGATTGTGGCCGTAAAATAAAATTCCCAGAAGGAACTGAGGTGGACTGATTTCAACAGCTGCTCCAATACAAACTGTTCGACAGATCGCGCTCATTTTTGGCATAGTAATTAAGGACAGTGTAAACAACTTAACAAAAAAAAGTTCCCCGTAGTCAGTTTAAATGGCAATTTCTGGAATTTTTATGGTTTTAATGAATTATGGGTCTAACTAATTGTTTGCATGGGCGATTCACTTCCTCGCTGCTCAAAGTCTTTCATGAAAATGTGGGAATGAAAGCCTCGAAGTAAGCCAAACGCACCATTCGGATCTAGGCTTACTTGCACACTCAAGTTGTACCTTTAGCCGCAGAATAAGAAAAATTGTAAGAAAACTTAAATGCCTACGCACGATCTGTGCTTATATCCAAATCATACTAATATTTGCCTATAAGGCTACAAGGAAAGAAGAAAGTACTATTTATATATCGAGCCAATAGAACTTTGTTCCAAGTCTCTGGTCCATATAATAAAAAAATTTAGTCAAGCCGAATCATGAATGTATACAAATATTTTTTGTCAAACAGATCAAATATCAAGTAAGTCGAACCACAACTAGGTCGGACTCTAGTCTGAGCTAAGCACATGAACGATTGTATAACGATTTTTTCAAATAGTCCAGCCCGTGGGTCACTTTCCGGAGAGGTGGGTAGGCTTCATATTTATCAAAATACAAAACCACATGCAAATGTTTTGTATTTCAAGTGAATCAAGCAATAAAGACGATTCTTCCGAATAGGTCGATCCCCTATACACTTCGCGGCGGGAAAAGTAGACCACCTATGTACCGCTTTTTTCAAATAGGTGTTTGTACCGTATCAGAAACATGTTCAGTCTGGATTTTCAAAGTGAGGTCTTTGGAATGCATCCATAACAGCACAATCATACAAACATTCAACTGCTCATTATAAGTTCAATTTCAACTCCGTATTAAGCTTACTTAGTTGGATTCAAATTTAATCAGCTTATAATTCAATATCTTTCAAAATATTGCGAAATGCATAAGTTCATAAAAACCCATGTAAAACACACCGAAGTGCCGAACTCGAGATAAGGAATTGCTCTGCTATTAAATTTTATTTTAGAGCGAAAAAGAAACTAATTTTCCACTCTGATAAGATAAGAATCCATTTCAATTATATCTCTTCACGTAGAATCAATTAATATAAAGGGTGATCCATTTTGTGGTTTCGAAAGAAAACGTAAATAAAATTCTTTTTTTTTTATAACCTTTGTCCCCTCGCATTATACGAGTGTCAATTAAATGACCGCCTCAAGAAATTTCGAAAACTCAATCCGCGTGAGATTATTTTCGATTATTTTTTGGAATAAAATGTATGGCTTTGTTATTCATCTACTAAATTTAGTTTTTGTTTGAGATGAACTTTAAATAGGTGAAGGTGTAAGTCCAAGTAAGTGATGTGCCGTAAGAAAGTCCAAGCTTTTGAGAACGTCAAGTAGCTAGAGGATCCATTTTGAAAGTTTTCTTCTTCTTAGTTTGACATTGAAGTTTTAATGATTTAAACATACAACTCTGTACTTTTGAAACAACGAAACGGATAACCCTGAAGTCTAGACCTAGCACCAAGTGATTACCATCTGTTCTCATCTGTCTGTGGTGATTGATTTGGCGCGTGAAGATATAGCCTCAAGAGGAGTCCGTGTACATCGATTGACCTAATTTTTTGACCATGGGAACAAGGGTTTCTTTGGGTTTTGAGTTAATTCTGATAATTCTACAAACCGCCTTTAATGTAATTTGATTTAATTGACATTTAAATTTGTATGAATAACTGTGAATAGCGTATTCGCTGATGTCTGGGTCAACCTTATCGCTTGCAACATGGCGTACATGCACTTAAAATACTCCTTAGTTGTAGATCTATGGTATTATGATATTGGGTATATATGTAGATAGGTAGATAGAAAAAAATTGCATTATCTCATTTCAAAACTTAATTTATTTTTATGCTTCAGAAACAAGTGTTTAAGTGAATTTATTTTTGAATCTTCTTTTTTTTGCTATTTTTTCGGTTGTGACTGCTAATTTTGCTCTAAATGTGTATGTGTTTTCCATTTCAGCATGCCTATGCGGCTAGTAAAAATTAAAATAAGAAATTAAAAGCTAATAAATAATAAAAAACAATTAAAAAATAATAATAAATATTTAACTAAAGATTAATTAGTGAGTCGTCGTCTATTTGTAAAGTGTTTAAAGATTAGCTGCATTGATTAATTTGTAGATAATGAAAATAAATAGGTATACGCTGATGTGTGATGTGTGCATTTGTATGTACATATGTAGCTTTAATACAAAAAAAAAATAGTTATATTAAGGTGTTCCTTTGGTGAGTTTTTTGCTTTGGATATCTTTAAACTTTTTAACGTAAGAATTTATTTAGAATTCATGCACCAACCAAGTGAAAAATATTAAATCAGAAAAGTGGAAAAACAAAACATACCTTAATAAATTTATTAGCGAGCTCCTTCCATATGACTAATTTTAAGCTCTGATGAAAACCTTTTCCACTATAGTTTATTTTTAACAACATTTTCTGTTTTCAAACAGATCATTTTTTTATTAATGCAAATAAAATTTATAACCTGAGGTTTAAACCCAGTTGTGACACACGTATTTAACTCCTCCCTTCACCATCTACCGGCTCACGGAGCATTCCCACCTTAATATTATTGAGGCAGTCTTTCAAAGTAAACAATTGTGTGTTCATAAGTCGTTTATAAATAGCATTCGTTTAAGTATAACATGCGCAGAAAATAAATTCAGTTCAGATGCGCATCGTGTGTTTACACTAAGCGGCAGAAAAAGGTTCTCGCTTAAACCTCAAGTTGAGATTATACATATTTATTTATAAAATTACGGCGACAGCAACAGGCACGGGGTCAAGCCCTCCTTTGGGTGTATATCTGGCATGAAATAAAGGCTCCTCTTAAAAATGCATCAGTCGTTCGTAGGCGACTTCAAACTCCATTTCTTGCACTGTGAAAATCGATCTCCAAGATTTTTGCCAATAGAAAGAAGGGGTTTTTATGAGAGAAGAATAATGGCATTAACTTTAAAATGGAAAAAAGTTATTGAGCAAAACGCTGCATATTTGACATAAAACAGATAATTCTAACTGTGGTAAGTAAAGTCTTCAATTCAATATAAAACTTTTGAATTACCTTTTACTAGACCAAAGACTAGGAAAGAGTGTATCCTACGAGGCTTTCGAAATATTTGGCATCCGTCGGAAAACTTCAGCCTCCACCATAAAATTTCGTCAAATAATACTAACATTAGGACTACAGACTTTGAATATGCCTCATGATTTTATATAGTTTCAGAATGTTGAAAAAAAATTCTGAAATGTAATTGGCCCATGAAAAATTGACAAAAAACGCTTGCTCTTTCACAACATTGCTATCGAGCGAGGCGCGATGTGGAAAGTAAAACGAAATTTCAAACAAAAAAGTCAAAACCGAGAAAGGCCTGCGTCAAGAATTCGATGAGATGTTCTGGAGGTGAAAATGTTGAGAATTTCACAAGAAAAATAGATAATCCACTGATGGTTTCAAAACTTGAACTGACGTTTAAAAGACCTTAAGTGTGTATGGAATGAACCCATAAAAAGAAACGTCTTTTTCCAATCCATAGAAAATAAGAATACCTAGTCAAAGCAAACTGTAGTTGGATGCATATAAAATCTTATCTAGCATTTCTCATAGTTATTCTCCATTACACATATATTGGATGAGTGCATAAGTTCGTGCCCGATTTCAAGTGCAAACTAAAATTGAAATATTTTGAAGAAAGCGCTTTTATTAATCAATTATGTATTCGCCATCATGTTCGGCAATCCACTCCCAACGTTCAACCAATTTACGGATGCCTGATTTATAGAAGTCACGCGGTGTCTCGTTGAAAATGGTGTTAAGGTGGTTTTTGACGTCTTCCACGACGAAACGCAGTTGATTTGTTGACGTTCAAATCACTGGCAACCTCTTCCGTCGAAATACGTGAGTTATTCGCAACTAAAGTCCTTAGAACATCGTCATCAAGCTCAGAAGGCCGTGCACTGCGAGGTTGATCTTCTTAAAATCTCCAGAACGAAATTTCGCGAACCATTTCTTTACTGTGCGGAGTGCTGGAGCACGG